ATCGGCAGGCGGACTCTCAACCGCTGCACCACCAGGGAAGCCCTGTTATTGTTTTTTAAAGAAGTGCTACAAACAAATTATGTGTAATAGTTTCCTAGTTTTTGAAGTCATGTTTTATCCCGTAGGAGAAAAATCTATAAATAGACAAAACATCATTTCTTGGCATATAGTCTCCTATAATCATATTACTATAAGAATATCTTGATTTCCACAACTATAGATGATAAGAGATATGGAAACTTTAAAATCACTTTTATTTATAATGTGTTCATCTGATGTTCTGGGGATTTAGTTCAAAGTAATGAAGTGAGGGCTTCCCTAGTGGCGCAGTGGTTGACAGTCCACCTGCCGATGCAGGGGATGCGGGTTCGTGCCTCAGTCCGGGAAGATCCCACATGCCGCGGAGCGGCTGGGACCATGAGCCATGGCCGCTGAGCCTGCGCGTCCGGAGCCTGTGCTCTGCGACAGGAGAGGCCACAACAGTGAGAGGCCTGCGTACAGCAAAAAAGTAATGAAGTGGAACTGTGAAGATTTAACTTGGGAGGAGAAAGACAGCTGCTCAATTTATATCCTAAGTATCAGCTCCTCCCAGAATAGCATTCTAGACTGAGAGCAGATGAGTTTAAAAGCAGAGCTGCTCTAGTTAATATTTCTGGGGCTGGAGAAGTGGTTTTGTTTCCAATGAATTTCTCTGAAATATGCAGACAAGATATTTTTTAAGTATACAAGTAAACAGGGATAACAAGAAAACTAGTAAATATTAAGAATAGTTGACGATTTGACCACATGCAAGAGTAAATAAACATCTATTACATTAAGAAGCAAAGTCATCAAGATTTTTTTGGGCACTGAGTAGCCTAAACACTACACTGATTTACTCAATCTAGAACTGAATAAATAGAAATTTTAACTTTTGTAGGCCAGTAGTATGAATATTAATTATTATACTTCGTTGAAATGCAGCAATACCCTCTCAAGACACTGCGCACAGTTATTTGTTCCTATGCCGAACAGCTTTAAACACTATTAATGATTCATTTTTCTTATTTTACTGTAAATTTGTTTTTTCCATCTATTAATTTATCTTACAATTGCCAGCCCCAAGACCTTTAGATGATTCTTCCTTTCCATTAGAGCAAATTAGTCATTTACCAATTTGCTTCTATAAGAATTACGATTTTGCAGCTATTATCTAGTTGGTCACCACATCCCAACCACCATTGAGTATCTACAACTGCCATACACTGGGTTAAGTGCTTTAGATACATGAAATCAACTCAACCTCACAATAATTCTGCTAGTTGATATAACTTCCATTTCACAAGTGAAGCTCAGAAATTCTTGGTAACTTTCTACTTACCTCTGATTTCAAAGGCTAAAAAATGTATTGATGTATACACACATATGTGTATATGTTACATGTCTTGTGAACATATATGTAGACCTGTGTTTCTATTATACTACATGGCCACAGCTAACTTAAAATAACTGGTCACTACTGTAACATTACTTCATCATACACAATGAACTATGTACACCCTTAGTAAAGTTATCAATAAATCTGAATCTTAAATAATTTTACCTTTAAGGAACTACTCCATTACAGAGGGGCTGCCTTTTTCAGTGGCTGGTATCTTGAATGAGTGTATGAAAATAATGCACTCTTGCAAAGAACTAAAATGCTACTTCAAATGCATTTCTGCCCTTATATAACTAAGAGCACCAAATGTCAGGAAATGAAAGTTGTAAGAAAAATATCTCTCAATGTATCACATTCCTCCAAATTACACAAAATTATGAAATCAGTAATTTAAGAAAACAATGGGGAAAAAAGAACTTACCAATCTAAAGAAAACTTTGAAAACTGAACTGTGTAACGTGGAACAACACGTCGAACTCTCCGAGGTGACCGTTCTCTCTCTCTTCGAGGAGATCTCTCCCGGGAACGTTTTCTCTGAGGAGACCTTTCTCTGGATCTACGTCTTTCTCTCTCCCTTTCACGACTTAAAGCAAATTTTTCTAAAATTACTATTATTTCTGGCATTACTGAAGTGTTCTTTAATGAAATAAATGTCACAGGTAATATAAGCAAGAATCCACAGTATACATTTTTTAATAACTTTCTGAAAATTGTGGTAAAATATAAATAATATAATAAACTTACCATTTTAACCATTTTGAAGTATACAGTTCAGTGGCATTAAGTGCATTCACACTGTGCAACCATCACCACCATCAAAAGTATACTTTTAAAAACATACCTTCGGTCATCTTTTCTGTTGGGCACTTGATCCCCTCTGTCATTTCTTCCTGAAAATCTGGATGGTGGATCTAACCTTCGTGCTGGTTGGGGCTGTGAAACTATACGGACAGGAGGTTGCAATAAACCAGCTTTAAAAGACACAGAAAAAGATGTTTTAATTTATTTAAATGAAGCTCAAAAGCATTACTTGGTTAAATTTTATACAGAAAAATTTGGCTAATATTTTAGGTTTTGTGACCCATAAATGGTAAATGGTAGAGACCATTTGCATATTTGTATATTTTAAAATAATTGTTTAAAAATGTAAAAACCATTTTTAGCTCAGGGACCATAGAAAACCAGGCCACAGACCAAATCCAAGAGCTGTAGTTTGCCAATCTCTGACCTACAGATATTAAACCAAAGACCGCTATACAACAAGACATTTGCAGAGCACCGAAGTATCATCCAGACATTATCCACACAAAGAAAAAGAACCTTTATAATGGCGAGATCTACAGCCACCACTTGACCAAGTAATCAAATTTAACATCAATAACAGTAGAAGAATCTAACTACACGTGCCTTCTAGTATGATGCAGTATGAATTAGAAAACATCACCTATAATGTAGTCTTGCCAAAAGCCTTTAGACTTAACTTCTACTTTAGAGTTTATATGGCGGAATGAGAAGGTGAAAATATCACAAGGAATCAAGACAAATCCAGAACACAACATTCCAAAAGAATCTACAAGTCAACTAGACCAATTTCTTAAAAAGTCAATGTTATAAACGAAGAAACAATAAGTGGGAAACCATTTTGGAATAAAAAAGACTAAAGAAACATAACCAGATACAACACATGAAACTTGACTACCTTTTCGTTTAGGAAACAAAAAACAACCTTTTTAAAAGACATTTGGGAGACAACTGGGGAGGTCTGAATATAAACAGGGTATCTAAATGCTTTTTCTTAGAAGTGACAGTAGATCCTGGTAATATAGGAAAGGATTCTCTTTTAGGAAAGGCATGCTTAATATAAACAGGGGTGAAATGTCATAATGCTTGCATTATGACCACTCACAGCAGTGTTTTCAGAAAACAAAAACTAGAAACAATCCAAACGTTTAGCAAACAAAAACATATAAATTGTACAATATTCATAAAATGGAATATTGTACAATAGTCATACAATGGAGTATTGTGCAATAATGAAAACAAAGAAACTAGAGCCACATGGACTAAATAAGTATGAAAAACTTTAAAACATAATGTTGAACAAAAGTCTTACACAAAAGATTATATAGGTGGAATCACACATTATGTAAAATTCAAAAACAAACAAAGCTAAAGTATATTTATGAGCATGCATACTTAGAGTAAAACTATTAAAAAAGAAAAATAGTTAACAAGTAGTGATTACACAGGTGCTCACTTTAATAGCTCATTACACTGAAATCTGTTTTATAACTTTGCTATATTTGTGTCAATTTATGATAAGAGAAAATGCCACAATTACATTTTTAAAAAATACCAATTAAGTAGACTTCTGCTAAAGTCAAGGCTATCATTTTTAATATTATTTTGATAAGAAAACGTACAGAGTTTCAAATTATCTATTTGCAAAAGAAAATTTAAAACACAGCTCAGGGCTTCCCTGGTAGTGCAGAGGTTAAGAATCAATCTGCCAATGCAGGGGAAACGGGTTTGAGCCCTGGTCCGGGAAGATCCCACATGCCACGCAGCACTTAAGCTCACGCGCCACAACTACTGAGCATGCGCTCTAGAGCCCGCGTGCCACAACTACTGAAGCCTGCATGCCTAGAGCCCGTGCTCCGCAACAAGAGCAGCCAATGCAATGAGAAGCCCGTGCACCGCAATGAAGAGCAGCCCCTGCTCGCCACAGCTAGGGAGAAACCCGCGTGCAGCAACGAAGACCCAATGCAGCCAAAAATAAATAAAAACAACAACAACAAAAAAAACCCCCACACAGCTCAGGGACTTCCCTGGTGGTACAGTGGTTAAGAATCCGCCTGCCAATGCAAGGGACACGGGTTCGAGCCCTGGTGTTGGACGATCCCACATGCCGCAGAGCAACTAAGCCCGTGCGCCACAACTACTGAGCCTGCACTCTAGAGCCCGCGAGCCCCAACTACTGAAGCCCATGTGCCTAGAGCCGGTGCTCCGCAACGAAGAGAAGCCACCACAATGAGAAGCTTGTGCACCACAACGAAGAGTAGCCCCCGCTCTCCGCAACTAGAAAAATCCTGTGGGCAGCAACGAAGACCCAACGCAGCCATAAATAAATTTATTTAAAAAAAAAAAAAGAAAAAAATAAAACACAGCTCATTTATTTGATGCACTATGGTTCAATGAGTAAAGTACTGCCACCAGACTCTACATGTATATAAAATGTTATGTTCATTAAGAAATAAAGCTCAAAACATTTTCTTCTGTAAATGATAAGATGCCAATAGGGGGACAGGGGATTATTAGTTTTGATATTTAAGTTCACGAAGAGTATGTCTTTGAATAAGAGAAATAAAATAAAACACTTCCAAATCGCTATACAAGTATAAGTGCTTAACACAAGATATTTAAGTTTCCTTTCAAGTATTCTGGAAGTTCCTGCCTTTTTTGTAATTAATACCATACTCTCATTATTTCAATAACCGAACAGTTGTGTGTTAGTCTGAACTCTAAAAGGAAAAGATACATTGCATGTAATACCTTTCTGCTGTGGCTGCTGTAATAAAGGCTGGGGCTGTGTCTGCAATAGTGGCGTAATAGAGGCTGCTGAAATCTGTGCCTGCAGCAGTGACTGGGGCTGGGGCTGAGCCTGAACACCAAATGTCGTCTGTGGTGCAATTGGCTGAAGTACGGCAGGAGGAGTCTTCAGTAAAGGTTGGGTTTGCGACTGATTCTTAACAAAAATAAAAAAAACCAATTTTTAAAAAGAAAAATCTTTGTAAATTGGAAGACCCAACCACCAAGTTTCCATAATACCTATTTTATATACCTGATTTGGTAGTGTTTGAATTCTTTGTGCATTCCATTTAAAAGGCATATTGGGATTATACGTAGCTTCAACCAATACTCTGTCACCCGCTTGGGGGGTTTTCCCTTTGACAGCACTAAAAAAAAAATTAAGTTAAATACGAACACAATTACAAGAGATTCCTCCAAAACAGATTTATATATTTAGCATTTTAAAGTAAACTATACCAGAAATGGAAGCCTAAAAAGCTCTTTTAAAAAATAGACATACCTCCTAGACTTATTTTTAGAACTGATCATGTTTCAACCTTGCTTTATAAACAGTTTCAAGTGTAAGAGATAATTTTCTACCCTGTATCCTAATACTGTGTCCCTCCCTCTAAAGTACTTTCTTTTATAACCCAAGAGTAAGATTTGCCTTGGGCTTTGGAAAGATGAGAGAAATGCAGAAAAGATGGAAAACAGGAGACCCACTTGTACAAAAAAATCTTATATAGTAATTAAACTTAATTTCCCAAACGAAGTATTTCTAAGGAAGCTAATTAGAAATACATTTGAAATAACTAAGGAAATATATATTTCCTGCAAACACCACACACTAACAAAATGCTATTTCAAATCCATTAATTAGTCATTTATTCTGTTTTTTAAAATGAATTTATTTATTTAATTAATTTATTTTATTTTTGGCTGCGTTGGGTTTTCGTTGCTGCGCCTGGGCTTTCTCTAGTTGCGGTGTGCGGGCTTCTCGCTGTCGTGGCTTCTCTTATTGTGGAGCAAAGGCTCTAGGTGCGCAGGCTTCAGTAGCTGTGGCACATGGGCTCAGTAGTTGTGGATTGCGGGCTGTAGAGCACAGGCTCAGTAGTTGTGGTGCATGGGCTTAGTTGCTCCACGGCACGTGGGATCTTCCTGGACCAGGGCTCGAACCCATGTCCCCTGCATTGGCAGGTGGATTCTTGACCGCTGAGCCACCAGGGAAGGCCAAGTCATTTAATCCTATCATTTTTTCAACTAAAATATTTTACATACATGTCATTAGATATGTCAAACAGAAGATTAAACTTTAAAAGACATATGACTATTTCAATTTTTTTTTTTTTTTTTGGCAGTACGCGGGCCTCTCACTGTTGTGGTCTCTCCCGTTGCGGAGCACAGGCTCCGGACGTGCAGGCTCAGCGGCCATGGCTCACGGGCCCAGCCGCTCCGCGGCATGTGGGATCTTCCCAGACCGGGGCACGAACCCGTGTCTCCTGCATTGGCAGGCAGACTCTCAACCACTGCGTCACCAGGGAAGCCCCTTCAATTTTTGTTGTTGTTTTTTTGCGGTATGCGGGCCTCTCACCGCTGCGGCCTTTCCCGCTGCGGAGCACAGGCTCAGGACGCGCAGGCCCAGCGGGCACGGCCCACGGGCCCAGCTGCTCCGTGGCATTCGGGGTCCTCCCGGACCAGGGCACGAACTTGCATCCCCTGCACCGGCAGGCGGACCCCCAACCACTGCGCCACCAGGGAAGCCCAACCCCTTCAATTTTTAATCTCACTGTAAGTCTGCTCATGAATAGCTAGAAATGTAAACTCACTCCTACAAAACATTTATAAAGAATTCATGATGACTACTTTGTTCAATAATAAAAAGATATCTTCAGTCACATTCTCCATCAAAAAATGTCACAGGGGACTTCCCTGCTCGCACAGTGGTTATGAATCCGCCTGCCAGTGCAGGGGACGTAGGTTCGAGCCCTGGTCTGGGAAGATCCCACATGCCACAGAGCAACTAAGCCCGTGCGCCACAGCTACTGAGCCTGCGCTCTAGAGCCCGCGAGCCACAACTACTGAGCCCGTGTGCCTAGAGCCTGTGCTCCACATCAAGAGAAGCCACCGCAATGAGAAGCCCATGCACCACAACGACGAGTAGCCCCCTGCTCGCCACAACTAGAGAAAGCCCGTGTGCAGCAACGAAGACCCAATGCAGCCTAAATAAATTAATTAATTAAAAAAAAATGTCACAGGTACAGGTTGAATGATTAAAGCAGAAAATTAGAGCTAAACCATACATGCCACAGTTAAGTAGGTGTCTTATCAATATACTTAATGCTAATACAAGAAGGCATTTGTCAACACCTAATGAAGTTTACCTAAGCTGAAAGAATACATCTTCATCTACAAATCCAAATGTATCGTGCAGTTTTGTAACCACCCCTGTAAAAACACGCTGTTTCTGAGGTTGTGTCTGTTGCTGACTGGACCTTGGTGTTGGATATGATACAGTTATCTGAGCTGCTGGTTGAGGAGTTGACAAGCTAAGGCTTGTAGGCAGTCCGACAGCCGGCTATAAAACAAAATCAACACCAAATTAAGGTAATGATATGAAGCAGTCTAGAACTTCAAACTACTTAAAAATAGCTCAAAATGCTAAAAACAATTTGAAGTTAGAAAACACATACGTACACCTTGAAGATGAAAATCAAGTCTGAAAAATTACGTTATTTTTGATCTATTTCATGATTAAGTTCCCTCAGATGAAAGTTTCCACAGGACGTTTCAGGAAAAAAAAAGTCACCACAGTGCAATGAGCTAAAAAAACACCGCATATTCTAGCCCCCTCTTAGAAATTCAAAATCCATAATGGCATAACAAAGACTCAGGAAAGTCCTAGATAAGTGAAATAAGTCAGAGAAAGACAAATATATATATGATCTAACTTATATGTGGATCCTAAAAAAACCAAAGAATTCATAAAAACAGAAAACAGACTGGTGGCTGCCAGAGGAGGGGGTGTGGTAGGGGAAATGGGTGAAGGTGGTTGAAAAGTACAAACTTCCAGTGGGGATGTAACGTACAGAACGGTGATTATGGTTAACAATACTGTATCCTACATTTGAAACTTGCTAAGAGAGTAGATCTTGAAAGTTCTCATCAGAAGAAAAAAGAAATTCACTTACATGAGGTGATGCAGGTTAACTAAACTGACTGTGGAAATCATCTCACAATATATACGTATTATTAAATCATGCTGTACACCTTATACTAAATACAATGTTATATGTCAATTATATCTCAAACTGGGAGGAAAGGTAACACTTTCATTGGTCTTTTCTGACACAATCAAACATGAATAACAACATATTACTGATTAAAACTTCTGTATGTAAACAGAAATAAAACCATTAAAAAGAAAGGAACAATCATCTGATTCTTCAACTCAAACGAATTCCATAATTCGTTTTACACCTGCCCAATAAAGCAAGTCTCTAAGTTCTACAATTAAAAAAAAAAAAAAAAATTAAGTCCTATATATATATTAAAGGTAACTCAGCATTTCTTAAACTGTAGCCACAAAATTTTTTCACAAAGTTTCTTTAACATAGTAAGACAAGACACTAATGCTTTATGGGCACACTTTGGGAAGTGTTATCTAAGCAAAGACTAACTTTTACAGCTTTTCTACTCAGTCTGAAAATCCTACTATTGGAGATTAAAAATAGGATGTAGGTGTTCATCAATTTTAGTTTTTTTTTTTGGTTGTGCAGCATGTGGGATCTTAGCTCCCTGACCAGGGATCAAACTCACACCCCTTGCAGTGGAAGCACAGAGTCTTAACCACTGGACCACCAGCGAAGTCCCAATTTTAGTTCTTTAATAAATACAAAGTGAGGTTTATTTCTCAACTGAAGTATACTTTATTTTTTTAAAGTAACTAACAGGTTCAAGACTATAAAGGTACAAAAGGTTATACAGTAAAAAGCTTTTCACCTATTCCTGTTCCTTAGCTACCTAGTTCCCTATCCATGGGGCAATCACTGTCTCCAGTTATTATTAGAAGTTCTGCTTTCTTTTTAACAGTTGCATACACCAGGGGTCAGTGAATCACAATCCACGGGCCAAATCCAGCCCACAGCTTATGATCTTTACACAAACTTACAAGCCAAGGGTCGTTTTTACACTTTTTTTTTTCTTTTTAGGTTGCGGCGTGTGGCTTGCGGGATCTTAGTCCCCGACCAGGGATCGAACCCAGGCCCTTGGCAGTGAAAGCACAGAGCCCTAACCACTGGACTACCAGGGAATTCCCAGTTTTTACACTTTTAAAGAATTGTATAAAAAGAAAAAAAAATATGCAACATAGACTGTAAGTGGTCCACAAAGCCTAAAGTAGCATTACATATCGAAAGTTGACAAACTTTTTAATGTTGCTGAAAAATCAACCTGATAATGCAACATAATAACTCACCTCCTAAGGTCAAAGTAAAAAAGATATAACATGTACAAAAAAAATTCTTAAAAATACTAGCTACAAAGAAAATGTAAAAGCCAAAATCAGTATTAAATTTAAAATAAGACCTCATATTTATTTAAACTAGATCACAGCAGGAACAGCAATCAAACAGCATAAAAGAAAAAACAAAAACATATTTTCCATCTTTATTTAACATTATATTGCTAAAACTATCACGTGAATCCAACAATATTCATCTTTAAACCCTAAAAGAGGGACTTCCCTGGTGGTCCAGTGGTTAAGACTCTGTGCTCCCAATGAAGGGGGCCCAGGGTTCGATCCCTGGTTAGGAAACTAGATCCCATATGCCACAACTAAGAGACCGCATGCCGCAAGTAAAGATCCCTCATGTCACAACGAAGATTCCGCACGTGGCATGCCGCAACTAAGACCCGGCATAGCCAGATAAATAAATAAATAAACAAATAAATATATTTTTTTAAAAAAAACAAACCCTAAAAGAAAACCTAGAATAGGAATAAAACTTTGGTCTACTTTTCATTCAGATATTCATAAGAAATAAAGTAATGCCAAACTAACCTGTGTTAACAGGGTCTGCTGAGGTTGCTGCAACTAAAAACAGGAAAAACAAACAAAAGCAGTAAAGATAAAAGAATCAATCAGAACTGCTGTTTCACAGATGTTTTACAAAAGGAAAAATTCCTATTAAATAAGTACTTTATTTCTAATTAAGAAATATGTGAAAAGTAACAGAGGTCATTAGGTATAAGGTTTCCTACAACTATTTTTAACAACTGCAGACCTTAAATATAACTAACTCATTCAATAATGATAAAGAATTTTTTTGTTGTTATTTCAGAGGAATAACACCCACCAAAAAACCCCACAAGTCCTTAGTGGGGTAAATTTCTACTTCTGCCCCATATTAATTACCATGCTACAGAAATGATTCAATATCATCCATAAGCTACCTGTATCAAAAATATTACTCGCTGTCCAATTCACATATATCCCCCTAATATGAGAAGCAGTCCTTACAGTCAGACTTGCCAAAGGTATGGGGACCATAAAGGACCATACACTCTGACATATATAGTTTCTCTGGCAATAGCAAAGTATAACATTACCAGAAAGCAAAAAGGAATTGGTGGGAAGGGGGAAATTTTAAAACTCTGGAACAGAAGTAAACTTTCTGAAGCCTCAGGACTGTGTCTGTATTAACCATCAGGAGGGTCTCCAAAGAAATACTTATCCCTGCTTGCTCCCTGTCATCCTTCAGCATTCTTGTCAAGCTGCCCAGCTTGGAGTTGTCTACCACGCACTAGTGTCCCATGGTTACAGCTAGAAGAGCAGGAATCTCCTGATGATGCTTAATAGCTTGAGGAAAAGGTCTTTTTTCCTACTGCCCAGGTAAACAGTCTGAGGAGAACATGGGCATCATTTCTGTGTTTGTGGATATCCTGGTCAGGGTAAGATTTGGACTTAGGTAAGATTTCCCTTGGGACATCGTTAATGCTTATTAGCTTCTAACTAGTGTTTTAAGCCCAATGGCAGAATCTGAAGATCACAGTTCTTCTGTTCATGACTTCTTATTTACTATGACTAATAAGCTTCCTAATAAATCTTTGTCAGACTTAAAAATAAGCTAGGAGAAAATAATCTATATGACATTCTAATTCAAAACACTGTTTACCTAGGTCGACATGTATTAAAGGTTAAATCTCTCAAATTTCCATTTTTCTGTAAGTTAAGAATGGATGAATAATGGCATTTTTTTTAGGGCAAGAACATTTGAGTATTGCCATTTTCATGTGGTCCAGAATAAAACACAGGCTTTAATAATGTATTTCCTAACAGTACTAAAATAAGTCTAAGGGTATCTGAAAACAAGATAGCCAACTTGGACCCCAATCTCTTATCAATTTTTTAGAAGTTTAAAGCAATTATTAGTGGGATACTATAATCTTCAGGGCAAATGAAATGCTTCTGAAACCAAACAGGCAAGGATGAAATTGGGGCATGGATCTAGGGACAAGTATTAATGGACTGAGAAGCCTCTTGTTTCTCCACAGTGTCTCTGGATCCAAGTTTTTGGTCCTTGTCTCTTGTATCCCCTTTTCCTCTCCTGACTGCTATACTTTCCTGAAGCTTCCTTAATGGCACTGAGAAGGGACAAAGACTACCTCTTAACCCTGGAAAACCTAGAATGGGTGCTTAGACTGGAACCCATCTAGATTTGAGCAAGTCAAACTCTTCTTTGCTTGATATGCTTCTCCTTGGGTTCACTTTGTTACCTCTTTCTACCACCCCAGATACAATAACCCTTGAAGAATATGATTAGAGTACAAGCTTAGGGAAAAGGAGCCAAAGAAACTTCTAGTCTAAGTAAGGAGTTTTCAAATTGTTCAAATGTGCCTTGGGAATAGGGGTGAGAACTACAAGGGGAGGCTTTCCTCCCATTTGCAACACTATCTTTATATTTTATACATTAGGTTTCAATACACAATTTTGTTAGGGGATCTTTGTTTTAAATAAATACAGGCTGAAAGCCAAAGGTCTGTCTACGCTTTAGCTTCAAATGGGAAAAAGGAGCTTTTCATTTTCACATGTGGTCCAGTACAGCACAGTAGGGCTAGAGGTTTCAAATAAGAGTACTGGGCCAAAGACTCATTAATAGAGTGACTCTTTCCAGATTATCTTCTGCATGCTTTCTTAGAAACATGTGACAAGGACTGGCTACTAGATGAGGATTTGAGTCTTCAGGACCTCTCTCCTGTCTTCCTCTCCCTTGGAGACATTCCGTTTTACCTACCACATTTCCTCCACCCCAAAAGAATTCAAATCACATATTAAGGCTACTGATGGGAAATAAAATGTACAAAAATTCAGTTGGAACAAATGACTTTTTAAAAATCAGTTTTTAACATGGAAAATATAAACTAACCTGTTGTTGCACACTATACAAGGCCTGCTGAGGTTGTGAATATTGCTGGAAAAAAGATTTTTTAAAGAAAAATATGGACATTAGTTTTAGTCATTCTCAAAAAGCCATATACATATATATAAACATTCAAATACATAACCAGAATTAAACTAAAAAGAAATCTTCTGGAACATCTACACTTCATCTAAAATAATGATTACTTATACTTTGGAATTCATCAAGAATGGAATTTTACTCAAATAATTAAGATACAAGAACTTAAGAATTTTGACTATGCAACTACATCTCTCTGTATGTTCTGGGCATAAAGAATTTTTATCACCAGAATAAAACAATAAGCATAATAGAAACCCACAACTATTCATTCTTTAAAATGTGAAGGTACCTACCCTAGCTACTCAGATTTGAAAGTTCTGCATGTCACATATTAAAACCTATTAAAGATTCACCTGTTGCAATGCTGCCGCTGCAGCTGCAGCTTGTTGCTGCAATGCTGCAGTTTGAGTTAACTGATAGTTTGCTGGGGTTTGTGTAGTAAGGCCTGCTGCTGCCAATGCAGTTTGCTGTGTGTAAATGGTAGGAGATGCTCCAAGGAGTGATGGCTGCTGAACACCCAATGCAGCTAAAATGAGATTAGAAAGAGGGGGAAAAAAAAAAAAAAATCAAGATTATTTGGATCCTGTCCAGGAATTTTCAATGAGTGCTTAGTAATGAATTACGGTCTGTCATTGCTTAGTAAAAACCTAAAGAAAAATTTTACTAATGCTTGTTGAATTTAAATGATTCATGCCCCACCTCAGATTCCAATGGCTTTATATTAAATATATGCTCAAGTCATGACAGATATAAGAAAACATTAATCTATAAAATTAAACTACAGAATGAACCCAACCAACCTTACCTAGACCAAGTGGCTAAAGTACCCTTGAGAAATAGTTTTAGTAAGAAAAGCAGAAAATAAACTATCTTATTTTACTAATCTAGAATGTATTATCTTCAAGCAGATTAGAATCATACATCAAGGACAGCGTTGCTGGAAGTGATCCACCCTTAAAACATCCTACTGGAGAGAATTTTCATGTACTTCTACTCTATTAAAGAACTGTAAAACTAGGAAACAGACAATAGGAACACTTTAAAAACACAAAGCACTAAAGAGCAGTCTAGCACTGCACTTCCCCAAACTGTATCTCCTAGAGTAATGACTAGCTTCCTGGGACATTAAAGTTTGGGAAAAGGGGTTCAAGCTTTAAAAAGGTTAGAAAACAGTGAATTAATAAGCATATATTTTTACTGCAGGAATCCTCAGAACCTTTAATATGCCACGAAGCATTGTGAATCTCAAAGAGGTCGCCATAAAAGCAATATTTGCTCATGTAACACTCCATTTTCCAAAGCATCTTGCTTATATCTGAGAATAACTAAAAAAAGTGCTGCTCTATAGCTACTAAGTTAATAACCCTATAGAAAGAACAAGATTGTGCCCTACAAGAAAAGAACAGAAATCATTAATGAATTAACCAAAGCACCTAGTCTAGAATCTACCAGAAAATCTTTAGAAGTGTGAGGTTCATCATCAATCAGTTGTTTAAGAGTCCAGGTTAATTCTACTCAAAAGTAAAACAAACCAACAACAAACTTAGGAAAAAACAAACAAACAAATCCTAGAAATCATGTTTGGAATTAATATAAATTACAAATTATCCCCTGTTAAAACACTGATTTTTAAAAATTAAAAAAGTTTGAGAAAAAAAAAAGAATCTAAGGTGGGGAAAAAAGCCTACTGAATGTCCTGAATACACAATTCTAGACCCTTACAACATTAATCTCTTATTCCCTTGGTTTTTTTTTGTTTTTTTTTTGTGGTACGCAGGCCTCTCACTGCTGTGGCCTCTCCCATTGCGGAGCACAGGCTCCAGACGCGCAGGCTCAGAGGCCATGGCTCACGGGCCCAGCCACTCGGCGGCATGTGGGATCTTCCCGGACTGGGGCACGAACCCATGTCCCCTGCATCGGCAAGCGGACTCTCAACCACTGCGCCACCAGGGAAGCCCTGTTTTTGTTTCTTAAATTTTTATTGGAGTACAGTTGCTTTACAACGTTGTGTTAGTTTCTGCTGTACAGCAAAGTGAATCAGCTATACGTATACATATATCCCCTCTTCTTTGGATTTCCTTCCCATTTAGGTCACCACAGAGCACTGAGTAGAGTTCCCTGAGCTACAGTAGGTTCTCATTATTTACCTATTTTATACATAGTAGTACATATATGTCAATTCCAATATCCCAATTCATCCCAATCCCCCTGCCCCGATATGTCTGTTCTCTACCTCTGTGTCTCTATTTCTGCTTTGCAAATAAGTTCATCTGTATCATTTTTCTAGATCTCTCGTTTTTAAGGTAAGTCAGACGCCACAGATGGGCAGAAAGGAGAAACCAAGACTAACAAAGTTAATTTAAATAGAAAGAAGTGAGGAATGTCTTAACACCAACGTAAATTCAAAATGAAGTTAACTGCAGTGAGAATGGAGATAAAGGTAATGAAACTAGGGCACAGGTTCTAACCAGTAGTTCCTGTTAACCTTCTGAAACTGTGTGTAAAATTACAGACAAGAAAGTCCAAAGCTTTCATCAGATTTTCAAAAGGATAACGGACCCAAAAAAGGTTAAGAACCACTGTTTTAGATAACAGAAGCAAAATTCTCTTGTAAACACAAGACAGGGAAAGAACCTAGGAAAAATTATTAGTATTTAAAATTCTTAGATTGGGATGTTCTACACTTGACAAAAGTAACATCTTGTGATTCAAGTACCATACCCACATGCATCTCCTTCACGCACCTGAGCTCTGACCTCAGATCTGCTGGTATCAATTTCCAGAACACTGGAAAGTACTGATAGCTGCCACAGACAGGCTCGGAGCTGATATCTCAGAAAGAGCTCTTTGTTTCCTACACAGCATTTAGTAAATGGGATGATAGCTGATATCCACAATCTCTTTTCCACTGCTGACAGTCAATGTGATGAATTAGAAACTACAAAGCAGACTGATTGGTAGGAGAACTTTATGGGAAGGAAATTGACATTCTAGTAGCTGCTGCACACTACTAGCTACTTAATTCAAATTTTGTGAAATCACTGTGCATGTGGTTGGGGCTTTTATATGTCTGTATAATGTAGCTCTCTTTAAAATCATTTACCTTTGCGATTTTAACCTCAATAAAGTACATTTCATTAAAATTTATTAATGCTCCTCTTTTTTGTGGCTATAAGAAGGTATCCTTGAATACCTGTTCATAGCATTCTCCACTCTTCTTGTGAATTTCTATAATCAATATTCTGTAAGATAATTCTTATACTTACAAAGTACAAAGGTATGAATCTCTGACTTAATATTTCTCTCTCCACAAGTGGCCTAATACTTATCAGTTGGAGATTTTTTTCCAATTACCCAGATTGGAACAGTCTATTCATTTATCTGTACCTGATTCAATATGATTGTTGAAGGTCTCATGGCCCATCTGAAACAGATATACTTATAACTATGTATCAATACTTCCACAGACAAACCGATGAAATGAGCCCTAAATGACCAAAGGCTACCAGAGGTTAATAAGTAAATCTAAGGGGTAAGTTTCCTTAAAGCTTTAAAGACAAATGTAAAATATATTATTTTCTAAAATGTAAAATCAGTTTCATATGACTGAAGCTTTCATTTTATGACATACTAGTAGTTATGACATACTGAATACCAGTGAATACACCATTAAAACACATAAGAGAAACCTGTCCCCTGTCTGTTGTCCCTTGATCTTATCAAACTCACAAATTTAAAAATCCTTATTACCCTTATACCTAAGATGTATTACCCATCTTTACTAAGATGGGTGATCCTTCTGAAATAATAAAATTCAAAACCTCATATATATATATATATATACACATATGCATAACTGAATCACTTTGCTGTACACTTGAAACTAACACAACACTGTAAATTAGCTATACTTCAATTAAAAAAAAAACTACTTAGAAGCAACCTTAGGCTAAAAAAACAAAAAATCTCTGGGACTTCCCTGGTGGCACAATGGTTAAGAATCGCCTGCCAATGCAGGGGACACAGTTCGAGCCCTGGTCTGGGAAGATCCCACATGCCACGGAGCAACTAAGCCCGTGCGCCATAACTACTGAGCCTGTGCTCTAGAGCCTGCGCTCTAGAGCCTGCGTGCTGCAACTACTGAGCCCACACGCCTAGAGCCTGTGCTCCACAAGAGAAGGCACCGCAACGAGAAGCCCACGCACCGCAACGAAGAGTAACCCCTGCTCGCCACAACCAGAGAAAGCCCACACACAGCGACGAAGACCCAATGCAGCCAAAAATAAATAAATAAATTTATATAAATAAATAAATAATTAAATAATTAAAAAAAACAAAAAAACCTCAAGCTAACCCGAGAAACTTCATTTTTTCCATCTTTTGCAAAATTTTTTTAAGGCACTGGTCAAGCAATGCTTTATCCTTCGAAATTTCCATATATCAATATATGTTCAAAAGCAATCTTACACTGTATGGAAAGAAAAACAACATAAAGACGTGGGGGATTCTCTTTATAACTTGTGGATTTACTAAAACACGTATAAACCCAAGTTTTAAATCAAGTGAACAAGTCTCCTAAGTGTCATCTTCAACTCAACATCCTTCCTAAAAAGTGATCTTTAAAGATTAGATTTCACAGAAATTCAAAACTTTTGATGCCCTCATGCACAGATAACTTTCTTACAGTCAGACAACTCACTGGTCAAGGCATTGCTATTGCTTTTGAGGTACTATTCTAAGCCCATAATGTACCCAAATAACTGGAAATACTCATTACTTTTTAAGAATTAGAAATTAAGGCATTAAGAATGAGAAATTAAGGGAGTCAAAGGTACAAACTTCCAGTTACAAAATAAATAAGTCATGGGCATATTAAAAAAAATTAAGGCACAAAATAGTATTTTAAATATAACATATTCTAAATGTTGTAATCTTCTATACTAACCGCATTGTTCAATACACTAGCCACCAGCCATATATGGCTATTTCAATTTAAATTAGTGAAAAGTAAATAAAATTAGAAATTCAGTCCCTCAGTCACATTAACCACATTTCAAGGGCTCAAGAGCTACATGTGGCTAGTGGCTACCATATTAGATAATGAAGACACAGAATATATTCATCACAGAAAATTCTACTTAGTGGAGAGAACTGTTCTATAAAGAAGAGGCAAAGCCTTAAATAAGTCAGTGTTATATGGGAGTCTCTATAAAGATTAATAACCTGGCAGACAACAGCTCTTCCACTTTCTTGAAGTCCCATGGAAGTGATGACTAGTGATCCTGGCCATAGTCTCTTCTAGCTACTACTCAAGTACGTTGGTCAACCCTCCCAGGAAGTTAAAGACACTATTTGTAATGTCATGATTTCTTCCATCCTTGAATGCCTCAGATATCTACCTAGTTTTCAACTCCATTTCTTTCAACGAGTTTTGTATCACCCAAAGTTAATATTCCAACTTTCAAGGTTACTTCCAATACATTTTCAGCTATAATAGACCAAAATTATTTCCCAGATCATAAAACA